GTGTTGGGATTACAGGTGTGAGCCACTGCCTGCAGCCCAAATAGGCTTTTCTCAAAAGAATACACACAAACTGCCAATGGGTATATTGTTTAAATACTCAAAATTATTAATCATCAGGTAAATGCTATCAAAACCACAATGAGATTATATCTTACCCCAAGTACAATGGCTATTATCAAAAAGAAAAAAAAATAACAGATGCTGGCAAGGATGTGGAGAAAAAGGAACTCTTACACACTCTTGGTGAGAATGTAAATTAGTACAGTTGTTATGGAAAACAGTATGGAGGTTTATCATAAAAACTAAAAATAGAACTCTTATACAATCCAGCAATCTCACTACTGGGTACTTATCCAAACGAAAAGAGACCCCTCAGTATATTAAGGGATACCTGTACCCTCATGTTTACTGCAGCACATTCACAATAGCCAAGATATGCAATCAACCTAAGTGTCCATCAATGGGTGAATGGATAAAGAAAATGTGTTAAATATGCACAATGGAATACTCCTCAGCCATCAAAAAGAAGGAAATCCTGTCATTTGCAGCAACATAGATGAAACTGAAGGTCATTATGTTAAGTGAAATAAGCCAGGTACAGAAAGACAAATATTACATGTCCTCACTCATATGTGGAAGCTAAAAAATTTCATCTTATGGTGTAAACAGTACAATGATAGGTTGGTGAATGGGTACAAACATACAAGTTTGTACACATAGACAGAAGGAGTAAGTTCTAGGGTTTGATAGCACAGTGGGGTTACAATAATTAACAATATTATATTGTATAGTTCATAATAGCAAGAAGAGAAAAATTGAAATGTTTCCAACATAAATAATAAATGTTTGAGGTGATGAATAGCCCAAATACCCTGATTTGGTCATTACACTTGTATGGATGTAACAAAATATCACTTGTACCCATAAATATGTACAATTATTACATGTCAGTTTTTAAAAGCATCAAGAAGAAATCAGCAGCCTAATTCAGCATATCACTTAAGTACAACATATCACTTACGTGAGATGTTGACGAAATCACAAACATCAGTAATTTTTGTACTTCTATCACCATTTAAACCATATCCACATACCTCCTACACTGTTGTTTCCTTGACATTGTTTTAAGTTGACTCTTTTTTACTTAAATTTATTTGTAAAAACTTATTCATAAAACATATTTGTTTAAAAAAAAAAAAAGGAGGCTGGAGACATCTGGGGCCAAGAAACTAAGGCAGGGCAAAATGTGAGGCCCAGGCAGGGATGCTGGAAGAGGAAGAGGGAGACTAGAGGTGGGAATGAACAGAGAGCTGAGGAATGGGTGGGATTAAGGAGGGCCCACAGTGAATGGGTGGGGCAGGAGTGAACAGTCCAACAGAAACAGATGTCAGGTAAAACAGATTGTCTTCTGGACTGTGCCAGGCAGTGACCAGCAAGAGAAGCTCAAGCAACATCTGTAAATCACCTAAAATCATCTCATGTACTACCAGTGATGGACATTCCCACATGCTGGGAAACACTGCCTGATGCTCTATGAACAAAGAGCAGCAGTCTTTCATTCTTCCCCTTTCATTATCAAAAACAATATTACATATAAACAAAGGAATGTAAAAGTCTACCTTACTTGTCAGGTCTCCATGAATACACCAAAAACTCAACAACAAAAAGCAATATGACTTCTCTTATTTTATATACAACTCATGCTTCTTATCTCTATGAGCTCTTTTATTTTGATAGACAGTCCCCACCATAGCAACCATCTCCTTAGTCAACGTCCATAAGCACAGAATACAATCAGAAGAATTGACAAACGCCCAGTAACAAACAACCATAAAAACAGCATCTGTTATTAAGGAGAATAAATCATCAAAATAATGTCTGAACAAGCTGGTAGTACACTGTCATATAAATTCTTGCATATAGTTAAGTATACCCCTAGAAAACAATACCCTTTATTTTTTAAATCCTTACCCTTAGCTGAACAATGATAGGGGAGACAAAAGATTAGTCTGCAATCATCAAGCCTACGCTGTTATTTCTTTGTAAAGTTTATTTCAGCTCCATGATGTTTCCTCCCTTTTCGTAGGTGTGTCAGATCACAGATTTACTTATCCTCCTGTCACAGCCAAGTGAGTGACTCAGGCCAGCACACAGCTCATTGATCATTTCAGTTTCCTGGGCTAAACTCATCAGTTCCCACTTCTCATTTCCTATATCCTCCTTACTTTTTTGAGGCCTGTTACTTTCAAGATGACATAAGGCCCGACAATGATAAGGAAGAGCAAAATGATATAAAATCTTAAAACAGATCAAAGGAGTTAACTCTGTTACACTTAAGAAAGATCAAATCTAAGGAAATTCTGTTAACTGCCCAGAAAGGCCGGTTCATCTTTTATTCATTTATTCATTCATTCCTTCAACAAATATTTATTGAGCATCTTTCACGAGCTAGCTCAGCCTAACACACCACTGTAAAGCATGTCATATTCTATTCAATGTTAGGTAACAATTGTTACGAGAGGACAGTTGCTATATCTGAAAATTCATTTTGAATATGGATGTGGGTATGCACACATGTTTAATACTTTAATACCAATTAACCAGAACTGGGCAACATAATCAACATCCAATCTCCAAACGCCTGGAAATCAGACACCCTACTTAGTCAAGAGCTACTAGTCTAAAACTTCACATTAAGGAAAACCCTATAGATTAAAAGACACATAAGCTTTCAAATTACAGCCATATGTGGTGATCAAACATGCATGGAAGACCACATAATTCTTGCAACTGGCTTTTTCAATCCAAGGGGACAGGTTAATCTATCAACCCATAAATTCATTAACCTGGAATTTCTAAAATGCCTAATGCTATATATGCACTAACACCATAAATTTCCCCCAAATTCTATGACATAGGCATTATTATTAATACTCCAGTTTTTAAAATTAACAAACTGAGGATTGGTTAAGTATAGCCCTAGAAAACAATACCCTTTATTTTTTAAGTCCTTACCCTTAGCCATTTATTCAAGGGCATTTAGAAGGCAATGGAGCTAGAACTTGAACCTAAGTTTTTGATTCATGAATTCAAGCATTTCTAAAAGATAAAAATAAATTAGTAGTATTATAGCTTATACATTAACATCTAGTTTCTTCTTATAATTAGCATCATATGGTTGTGTGAATCTTGTTTTAATTCATGTACGTATAAATTGCCTCTAAGCCCCTAACCATTTTTAATTGCACTTTTCTTAGTTTCTGGTTATTATATACCACCTGTTCCTGTCTTTCCCAGGATGTTTGTTGCAGAGTGAGAATTAACTGTCTTGGTAATGAAATCTACCATTTAAAGAGTACTTTGTTTGTGCCATACACTGGGATAAGTATTTCACTTATAGTTTCTCACTTAGCCCTTACAACAACCCTCTGAATTGGTACTACTGTTATCATCATCACCTCCTTTTATTTTCTTATTATACTTTAATTTCTGGGGTACATGTGAAGATCATGCAGGATTGTCACATAGGTATACACATGCCATGGTGGTTTGCTGCATCCATCCCCCATCATCTACATTAGGTATTTGTCCTAATGTTATCCCTCCCCAATACCTCCACCCTCTGTTATCCTTCCCCTAGCTCTCCCACCCCAACAGGCCCCAGTGATCATCACCCCTTTTTTTTTTTTTAACGAAGGAAGGAAAGGAGGTATAGAGAGGTAAAGCAACTTGCCTGAAGTCACACAGATAAAGAGGATTCACACCTGGTGGTCTCTTCTCCCTTCTCCCAGTCTATGATCCTCATCAGTATGAAGTTCTGGTTCCCTTCTTAACACCCTCATCTCAAGTCCGGGCTCCCACTGGCCTGTTTCTCCGTGCTAGTGAGAAACTGCTTTTAGTGTGTGCTGGTTTGGTTTCCTCCATCTTTGATTTCTCCCCTGATAAGGGCCATGGTTCACCTGCTCTGTGCAGCTCTCTGCTTCCACCTGGTATTGATCTCCCGGCACACTAAGACTATTCCTGATAGAGATGAATTCACCTTGGGCTGTGTAACAAGGCTTCCCCAGGGCCATCTTTCCCATCAGGAGTTTGATCTCATTCTTGCCAAAATCTCTTAAAGAAGCCAAAGCTTTTAAAAATAACATTCAACATTTTAAAAAATCAATTACCAAAACAGAGTTCACAGAACATCTGGATTTGTGTCACATTATCAGGAGACTTTAATTGCATTAATATTTGATGGTAAAATGTATTAAGGTCAGATTAACCTGAGGAATAAAACTGATTTTCTATTTTCTTTCCACTAACTGCAAATTCTATACCAGTTCTTTCTACAGATAATCAACAAAGGGAGTAACCTCAGGATAGGTGTTAATAGTTCCATAATGCTAAGAGGTGCAAAGGGAGGAACTCAGCATTTACTAAGCACCTTTTGTGTGCACAGACACAATGTTATATATTTTACATGTATGAATTAAACAATAGCTCCAGAGCAACCCTAGCACATAGGTTTTACCATGCCCATTTCACAGATGGGTGAACAAGCTCAGAAAAATCACATAAATCAGACTAAAGTCAGTGGCAGAGCTGATACTTGAGACTGAGTCTGTTTGCCCCCAGCTTCTGACTGCAGGAACCATTTCTCCTTCTGCATTGCTTCTCAGAGAGTTCTATCAAGAGCCCTGCAAGAATGGCCTTAACTTGTATTTGACTACAGTATTGAGCTTGATGAGAAACCCAGCAAGAAATGAGATCCTCTTATACAGATGCTCCCCCAAACGACCCTGTGCTCCCAATTCCCAGCTGGGTCATACATGTCCCCAGAAAAATAGCCTTTCTTTACTTTCCATGGGTTTGCTACTTGCCTCTGTTTCATTCCTTCTCTCTCTTCTTGGCCCCCCTCCCCTCTGTAGTGTCTTTCTGCAGGTATCTTTACGCCTCTGTGTGTATCCATCTCTCTCAGTCTCTCTTTCACACAAGCATACACACACTCAGGATACCTCGATCCAGCAGCCGGAGCAAGCGGAGATACCAGAGATACCACTGGTCCCAGAAGCGGTCCGTCATCCCACCCTGAACTCATCCTTCACAGCCAGTCCCCTCGGCAGAGCCTCATCCCACCACCGCTGACTCCAGGAGGCCGGAATCACTTGATGCTGGGCTAGCACACAGCCTGCTCTAAGCAAATGCCTGCCTGCAAAGACAGCTACAAGTCCTCCCACACAGAGGCTGACTGTGCCGGGAGCCGGTTTCACAGCAACAAAGGAACAAGTGCAGAACAACGCCGTGTGCAGACCGAGCCTGCCTGGACCCAAGGGGAGGTCGGAGATGCGTGGGAGGGAGTCAGGAAGGGCTTTCGCAAAGACGTGAGGTTTGCAGTGGTCTTAAGAATGAAAATCCACAAGCAAGTCCATCTCTTAAATTTTATTCCAGTATCTCCGACCATTCTGGTTTCCATGCTTCCCACACCAGAGGCCAGTGGCTCCTCCAATAGAATGTGGGATGGGAAACCACAAGCTCAGCCATTTTGGACTTTGAGGCCAGTCCCGGAGCCCAGGAGCCATACTGCTTCGCTGTCGGGTCCAAGGGCTCTCCTTGCCCAAGACTGTAGGACCCACATGACAAGAAAAAGGCCACAGATCCTTTTTTCCTATGTCCCTTCATGGAACCTCTGTTATAGTAGAGACAGCATGGGCTCTAAAGTCACACAATCATGGGACCAAATCCTGGTTGCCACTTAATACTTGCCTGGCCTGGATCAAGTTATTCAGTTCCCTGTGCCTCCGCTTTCTCCTCAGTAAACCAGAAAGAACAGTATTTGTAAGCCTCAAAGCAAAAGAAGAATATAATGTTTCTGGTGTTGCACCTGGTAGATAGTGGCAGATAGAAGGTTCTCCCTTATCTCTCAACCCCTCTCCTTCTTGCCAGACTCTCAGTCCCCCACATGTTCATACATCCCATGGTTTTCCATTGGCAGGCCTTTGCTCCTGCCCTTGCTGCCAGTAGTATGCTCTCCCCACTCTCCCACCTCATCATGGCCAAATCCTCCTGATTTTTCCAACAAATAACTCAAAATGCCACAGAATCCAGGCAGACTTTCTGATCTTCCTTCCTTTATATTTTATTTTTTTCATTGCACCTTCTCATTTGTATATAACTCTTCTCCCTTACTTGCCCATAAATGCCATGAAGGTAGGATCTGCTTTTTAATCATCTTCGTGTCCCTCAAAGAACCCTGAACTTTGCAATTACTCGAGTGGTTACTAACTGGACAAATGAACATGCAAGGGAGTCTGAGTCTGTTGTTTTTGGGGAAAGGAGAAGAGTAAGCTGCAGAGACCTCAGCCCGGGGGCATTGTCTAAGGGGCTTTGGGGGATTACAGGGTGTCCAGTCCTTATTCTGCTCACAGCCCCTCTTACAGTGGGCCAGTCTGTGACCCACGTGACTGGAAGTGCTGTTTACAGAAATGAAACCTAAGGAGTCCCCAGGTCTAGGACAACCTTGTTCTCCAAGCCTAAAAACTACTCAACAGCCACCTGCACATTCATCACAGCTCTGTGCAGCCTAGGCCACACTGGCAATGCCTCCCCACTCTCCTAACAGAAAAGGTGGTTTCTCAGGCCTCCTGGCCTCCATCAGGCAGCTGGTAAGGCATGTATCCCTCAGTGGCAGCTCTTCCTTGGAACTTATGCCTCCAAGATGAGACAGGCTGCAGGTTTCTGAAGAACTCTTGGGGTTCTTCAGAAAGATTGGGGAGGAGGCACGTCCAGGAGGTAGGAGCTAGGACGGAGAGGAAGAAAGCGAGCAGAGCCACAACCTCCACCTCCTGCCCCTGCCTGCCAACTGCCTTGTGGTTTCTTCTTAAAGCGCAGCACTGGGTCTGAGTAGAGACAGCCCCACCACAGAAGCTATGTCTCAGGCTCTGTTAGTGTTATTTTCTTATTACCTTAAATGGACAAGACTCCAGTGTGTAGTTAACACAAGAATGCAAACTCCTCCTCTTGCCTCCAGAGAGAATTAATCCGGTGTTTATCCCTTCACAAATAATAAGAATCCATTGCTCACGTGTGGCCAGTACTTTTTTGTTCACAAAATACTTTCACAACTATCATCTCTTGTGTGCCCTGCAAGATCTGTGGATGGGAATCACTTTCTCCAGTATACAGAAGAGAAAACCCATGTTCCAAAAGATTAAATAACACTTAAGGTCACATAACTCGTGGGTGCCCATCTGTCTCCTCCGTGAGTTTCTGGGGCTCTAAGAAATTCCCTGGGAAATGACATATTTCACTGAGACGTGGAAGCCCTCACAGTAGGGCAGGACCTGGGGAAATATAGCTATTTCCTAACAGGAATCCTGAGGGAGGCCCCTCCAGGGCAGCACTGACATGCCATGAGCACAGGTTGGGTAGAGGGTTCAAATGTGGCCACTTATTAACTAAGGGTCTTTTGTCTTTTTCTTTGGCCCCTGACTTATAACTGCAGAGAGAATGCATCTCCAAATAAGAATGCCAAAAAGGCTTTTTTCTAACACAACTTGGAAGAATTCTGAAAGGGAGGCTTCCATAGTAGCAGGAGACCTAGACAGAGAGGAGCAGGGGAAGAGCATCTCTCACTGTGTGGCAGAAAGTCCCAAAGAGTGCCCTAATGATGCTAGTGCTACAAGTCTTATTCTTGGGCCTGGAGAAAGAAGCTGGCCCCGTTTCCCTCCCTCCAGTAATCAAGGGCAAAACATTCCACACTGTCTCATTTGCAGAGGGAAAGGGAATAAAGACTATCAAAAATAATACGGATGTGAGCACTTCCCCCACAAACAGTGAACCTTAGAACATAAGCAATACCCACCATGTCAGCCCCAGGGTGAACCCATTCAGCCTGGAGTTTTACTCAAGATTGGCTTCAACCCATCAAGCTGGGCTCCTTGGAGCTCCCCAGTCCACCACTGCTCATTTCTCCAACTCCCACAGAGCCTCATAAGTCTTACTTGAAATGCAGCCCCTCCAGAAGTAGAATAAAATGTTCCAAGAGATTGTCAGCATTGCCATTTAACTGAAGTGCAATTAGAAAGGATATTGGCTAGGACACAGCCTTATTAGTAGGTTTTTGTTGTTGTTTTTGTTTTGTCTTATACAATGCTTCCACAGTGGCTCCTTCTTTCATCATGGTCAAAGCAAGCACAGCTATTCCCATTGGCATGTTTCCTCCAGCCCACCCAGATGGCTACAGAGACATGTTTTCCAGGAACAGGCTGTGTTACCAGGCCAGCAGCAGCCCATGCCACCAGGCCAGCAACAGCCCATCCACTCCCGAGGGCTGATGCCCATCTGGATGTTCAGCAGTTACTTGATATCACAACATGGATGTGTTCCTTTCTCTTCGATGTTCCTTCTTCTTTCCTTGGCACTGTTCTTTCTCCCTCTCTTTACCCACCCCAACTTAAAAACACTGTGTTCCCAATCAGATAAAGCCAGCGCAAGTGTATGGAGCAGAAGGCGAGCAGCACGGAGGGAAGAGAGATCCAACCCTATCCCAAAATTTTTTTCACTCGTCTCCTGGGACAACAATGACTGCTGTTCCCTCAGCAGCACTGGCCAGCTCCTCAGACACATAGACCTATCTGGCAAGTAAAGGCAACACAAGAAGTAGCATAGTTGCTAGTGTCTGCAAACCGAAGTGAAGACCATCCACAGACATACAAATCTCCCCCACTCTGCCCCAGGAAGTGGGCTCCACTTGGCTGCCATTTTGCCCTGCAAGCTGTGCTTCAGTTGTAACATGAATCAAACACTACAGCAGACAGCATCCTCAGCCATCTCCCACACCACTTCTGTACCCTTGGCGATTAGCGCCCAAGTGGTAGAGTGGAGCCCGTGGCAACATAGTCCCAGGGATGTCATTTCAAGGGTGGGTCGGACCCCTGCCAGTCTCTCCCATGAGAGCTTAGTGTCCCCAGGTGATCGGGCTTCTTAGGTCCACAGCCAAGGACAGTATCTACAAGAAAGTATCAACTAGACACTGAAATTCAAGTCCACCTCTCCCAAGAGGCCGTTTCCAGCTAACCTCACACATTCTCTATCTCAGAGGTTCTCAAAGTTTAATGGGCAGAATCACCTTAGAGGGTTGGTTATCCATGCAGATAACGAGGTCTCACTCCCAGATGCCTGCATTTTTAACAAGCTCCCCAGAGAATTTTGCAATGGTGATCCATCCACTTCAGTCTCTGCTCTCCTCTCCTACCCTGAGCACCAGCTTCGTGTCACTATCCTGAATTCTAGTGTGTACCCCACCTCCCTCAACACCCTTAAAGTGCAAAAGGGAGGGAGATTCTGAGCTCCCCATTAGACTAGGCTCACCTGGAAGGCAGAGGGGGCTCTCTCCTCTCAAGGCCCAGTAGAGGTTTCCACATGGAGGGGTGAGAAGCTGCCAGCCAGGAGACTGAGAAAGCCTCCCCAGGCTCCAGAAAGCCTTCATTCTGCCACAGTTCCACTCCACATCTGTACAATGGCTTTAAATGTCACCTCAAATATCAGGCCAGGTGTAGGGAAAGGCAAAAACTAATTATTCCACCTTGCCTCAGCTTTTGTGTGGCTTTCATCTTGCTCACCTCTGACCTCTGCTGAGATATTTAACTCTGCCTTGGCCAAGGCATGCCCAGCTCATGGAAGACAACCTTTCACTACCCTGGGCTCTAAACCACCTTGTTAGGTGGTGAAAACCTGATCCTTCCTTACCCCTTCTCTGAGGGCTTCTAGTTCCCCCAGCAGTCAATAAAACCCCATGTTACCCTGAATCTCTAATACAGTACGCCACCCCAACACCCCCCACTGCCACTGCCCACCCAAGGGCCAGACCCCTCTCCTCTTTCATGACCTTATAAAGGTCACCCATCCTGGGCCCCATCTCCTCTCCAGTAAGTCCTGTGAAAAGTACCTTGACAACTTTATCCCATCCAAGGTATTTATGATGCGAGCTTAACATTTAGCCTCTCAGAAAATGTTTCTATTTTGGCAAAAGATAAAGCCTAAGTCAAAGGAAGGCATAGAGGAGTTCAGGCCTTAGGTAAGCAGGGGTGAGGGTGGATATCTGGAGTCAAGGAGCAGAGTCCATGACTTCCTTCCCTAGGTCTTCACAGGCATGTCCCTGTAAGGCCATCCTGTTGAAGTGAATCACAAGAGTTGGTGATCCTTTCACCCTCCC